AATCTCCTCTCCCCAAAAGAAAACTAAAATAATTTAGCCATACCTCTCTTTAACAGTAAATGGAAAAAAAAATAAACAATTCAAAAACTTTTTTCTCTTTAAGAAATAGATATTCTTTTCCAGTCAGTCTGTAACAGTAATGCATAGATTCAATGTTCATGTTTTCTAGTAAAGAAAGCTACAATGGTAGTTTTCCTTTAGCAGTGATGTGAAATCACCATATACATGTATGGAGAGAAAAGCACTGTAGCTGTAGGTGAAGAATTCTGTTTAGAGCAATGGAAAACTCTTGTGTTTATTCCACTGAGTCCTGCAGAAAGCATCTTGCTGTCTGAGTACTTGTATATTTATTTAATATTTTTTTTTTACTACAATAAACTAGAAAAAAAACCCTGAAACTAATGTTAAAAAAGTGAGGACTGCCTTAAAATACAAAACTAATGAGTAAAAGTGTGAGCAGGGGGAAAATCCTGGTCATGAAGCTGAAGTGACTCTGTGGAAGAGTAAAAAATAATTAGTCTGATGTATGAATGAAAGAAAGATTCAGATATAAAACCATGCAAAACTTTAGCTTAATTTTATTGTTGATTATCACAGCAGCTCTTTTGAAGTACATGCTAACTGAACTTTGGAAAGTGTCTTTCCGTAAGGTCAGCATGCATGGTAAAATACTGTAGATTATTTTTGTTTGTACTTGAACACAGGTATGTTTGGTTTGCTTTAAACCTTCAATCAGTGGGAAAAGAAAGGTGATGGTTGGATCATGCTTCCACAGGATGCACCTCATTTTTTAGTACTTAATGTTTAATGTTCATCACTTAATGTGTTTTCAGGTGTGTTTCTGAATCATTATTTTAGAAAAAGAAACACACATTTCTGTCCCATCCAGATGGGTTTCCACCTTGTTAAATGATTGGTACTTTTCTCCTTTATTCTTTAGAAATGAGAATTTTTAGTTGGATTCTGCCATCCAGATAAGCTGTTCCTCCCTTAATTCAAGGCAACAAGAGGAGATAGCATTGGGGTATATTTGGTCTCCTGAAATATTTCATCCTGTCTTTTCAAAAACTCAGAGCTGTAACTTTCTCTTGAAAGGCTGCTGTGACATTGAGATATTTGTTGGCTGGACTTGAAAGTATGCTTTAGATAGTGTTTAGAAAAATCTAGTGCCCCATAAGTGCAATACACAATAAAAGGAAGTAATGCTCAGAACCTATTGTGTGTAGATTGCTGCAAACTGCTTTTTCTCTTAATGCTTTCAGCTTGCTGACCTGGGGAAAAGGTTGTTTCTACATTTTATCTCAGTTACCTGTCTGAAATTCTTAGTTTTGGGGCCTTGTTTGTTTTATTTTGACCTGATTTTACAGTGTTTAGAGCTGTCTAACGTATGCAATGAACAGCTGCACTGCTGAGTTCCTGCAGATGTTGAGAGCCAGTATGACTATTATAACTACCGTTACAATGATCACTCATGGAAGCCTTGACTTAGGAGAGAAAAAACACATTAAGTCATGGAAGTCTTCAAATGCCCTGACCTAGACCTACAGCAACACAGTATGGTATTTTCGGGCACGCTATGTACTGAGCTATTGGATGGCTTTCTTCCGTGTCTCCTAAACACATTAGATAAACTTTGGAGCCATCCAGTAATTTTACATTCTAAGTCCCTTTCCATATCTACAGCAATCTTGTTAACGTTACCTCTTTTAAAGCTCTTTATTAGTACATATCATCAGATAAAAGGCTATGTACTATGGATTTCTGCTCTGTGAAAGTCCATTAAACAAACACAGTATTACCAGCTGATCAACTTCTGAGCTTAGTTTTACTGAAGGCTATAGTGGGCTTTTAACAACTACAGATACGGCTTTTTTGACTTCCTAATTTGGGGAGGAATTTTCTTTGTCAGAGCACTTGTTTTCCTGATTCCTTCATGTATGAGCTTGCCCTAAAGGAAAACAATCTTTAAATATTTTCTTCATTGAGTTAAAAATATCTATTAATCTGAAAATCATTTTAGAAACTGTATTCTATTGTTAAAATAGTGGCCATGTCTCTTTTTACTTTGGTATCAAAATATCATATATATAAAATTCATAATTGAATCTGTTTTCAAGATAAATTTCAGAAGGAAAAATATTACAGACCTGTGTCAGTGCACTTATCTGCAAACTAGTTGGATGTCAGACCTGTATCATAGCTGTGTGTGTGTCTAGAGGGGGGGAGTTGAGCTATAGCAGCAGTATTTTCCATGGGTATGTAATGCAAGGCTTGTCTGCAGGAGTTGATATATTACTTTGTATAGGTTTGAGCTGGATTTGATAGGAAAAAAAGAAGTAAAAAGTAAAAAATAAAGTGTTTTCTAGACCTTCTAGACCTTTAACTCATTTCTCCTATCTCTTCCTTCCAATTACTATATCATAGGTCTGTATGTGGGCCTTTTTCTTTTTATGGCAGTTGCTAAATAATGCTGTCCAATTTGCAAAGTCAGAGATGTAATCACTCTGCGCAGCACTGTTAGAGATTGAGATTGAAAATGAAATAACAAAATTAACACTGCTGGTCAAGAGTTGCAATGAGGTGTTTTCCAGGGGAAAGAATAGTAACCTTAAAGCCAGGATTTGTTGGTCTTACTCATTGTGCTAGTGCACAGCATTGTCTTTTTGTCCCTTCCTTATGCCTCACCAAAAAAAACTTGGCTAGAGGAGCCTCCAGTTTGGGAAGAATTAGAAATATAAAGCGTTAATTACTTTTAAAGAGTGAAGATTTCTAGCTCTTTTGCTTGCTAAGATAGAATGCAAACCATAAACTAATGGTAAATGTCAACTAACGGCTAGACTTGAAAGAACCAGCAGCTGGCTTCTGCTTATGAAGCAGAGAAACCGTGTGGGAGGAAATGTAAAGAATCTCCTCAAATACCCACTCTGACAGAGGGGCAGCGGGGGAGATGGTACTGATTATGGGTTTTAACCTTTAGAATTCTTTTGCTGTTGTCGCATTCTTAGACTTGTACGAAAATGCAAACTGGCAATTGATTCGTTTCAGGTAAAGGTATTGGATAAAGGCCCCAGGCAATCTGAAATAAATTTCTGATTAAAAATGGGGCACTTATTTTGCCTGTATCAGCTTTGTCTGTTAATGATTTATGGTATGGATCTCAAAGATTTGAGATATATTTAATGAATAATTGTTAGCAAAGACCTGAAATCAGCTGCAGTGTTTCAATATGGCAACATTATTAACAAAGTTGTTAGAGTAATACATTTTTTTAAGCATTGCCATTTCAGTATCTACCACAAATCTGAAATTATGAGTTGTTCTGGGTGCAAATAAACAGGGGAAATAGATTGGGTGATATTCATTAATGATGTATAAACTGAGATCAAAAATAGTCTACAGGCTTGTGCTGATATAAATTGAGACGAATTGTAGGACTGTAACACTGACCTAAATGCTGTTTAAGGCTACTAATGCTGGTTCTCCTTCTAATAGGAAGTCTATACCTGCTGTTGAGGAAACAGAAGGTTGTTTTGGAGTGGTGTTTTTTTTTTTTAGGTAGCTTTTTTCAGTAATTCATAGATCCTTCATCACTTTTGATATGGAAAACAATATACAGCCTCATTAATTCATGGCACAATGATTTTTTTAAACTTATTTTTAGAAGAATCAGGGTAAACAGGCTAGAAGCTGAAGAGAAGCTTCTTACTGAAGATAGTAAATTACAGGACACTCAATCAGTGTATCTAAAAAATGTGGCAGTCTGTCTGGTTTTTAAACGTTCTGTATCTAGAGGTTGATTTTAGAGGACAGAAGAAACTTCTTTCAAGGATTGGTCAATATTTTTTGGTATGGGCAGATTGTTTTTACATGTTTGATGAGCAACATTCATGGGGGTGGGGGGGGAGTAGAACTGCAACTGTTATTTCACCTGCTCTTCTTTTACAAGTGTCCTTTCTTTGCTGACAACTCCCTCTGTGGAGCACTTGCCTGCAGTCCTAGGAATTACTATTAACTCCCCAAGATGGGGTGGAAAATTAAAACTGGTGAGCAAAGGCTTGGAAGTATACCAGCTGGAGGATATTTGTGACAGATAAGAATAACAGGAAGAGAGAGACAGAGAGAAAAAGAAATGGCCAGCACTTCTGGCTTCTTAAAAGTGGGGTGTAGATTACTTGCTGTTATGGTTTTGCAATGTCTTGTTTCCAAACTGCTGGCTTAGTCAGCCACATCTTTAATTTGCCTGGTCTATAACAGCTGCTTCTACTGCTACCAGAGAAATTATAGTTTCCAAGCCTTCATTTCATCCCTCTTACCTATAATCCCCAAGTTCCAGTCTGTCTGACCACTTGACTAGGCTTTTTAATTAGCAGATCTTTGGGGGTGGGTGGGGCTTAAATGTATTTTGCATATACAGAGACACTAAACAGCCTTGGAAACTCGAGATGAAAAACATCCTGCTGGGAATATAAAATGGCACATAGTGCCTAGAATAATGATTGCTATAATTGAGATTTTCTTGTGCTATATTAGAAAACATCATTTACCTGGGGTCCTATTCTTGTCAAAAGCAAACAAAGTTTTGTTGTTTAAAAACTCATCTGTTTAATCTAGTCTCTACACTGTTCTGTTGATTCCTCTGAAGAAGGCTTATGGGTTTGGCACAAAATACACAAAGCCCGAGATGAAAACTAGCATTTAAGTATTCTTGTTCAATCAGTGATTTGTATCAAGTACATACTTACTTGATTTGCACAAATGAGGCAGGTGGAGTTTCATAATGATCTTTTCCTTGTACCTGAGACCACAGTGCTGCCTGACCATTTGGCTGAGGTGGCTCATTGTTAATGCGGTGCTAATAAACAACATAATATGGGAAGGTTCATTCTTCTGTAGAAGATAATAGTTCTCACTGCTGCAAGTATCTTAATGTAATTAAAAAAACAGCTTGTTTTAATCATTTACTAATTGTATGGCACAACCAAGTAATCTCTGGGATGTACCTTGGAGACCTGATAACATGTTTCATCAACCTCTGGGGAGCTGACACAGACGATGTTGGTCAAATTGCCCTCAGTTCACTTCCTTTGCTGGTCTGCAGCTCTGCAGTGATTTGTCTAGAAGACAAAGAAATAAATGATTTTGTGTGATAGTTTAGGGTAAGATCAATAGATCAGCTGATAATTGGTCTTGACATTACCCAAGGAAAAATTGCTAGTTTTGCAATAAAGGTCTGAGTGGTTCAGTACTATTTGTACAAATTCTTTTCTTCATGGGATATGTTTGTTTTTCTTTTGGTAAGATATGTTTCAAGTTAGCTCTGAGTGAAATTAGATTATTAGCATATTAAACTGAGACACAACGCTGTGAATAAGCCTTATATTTTTCAATAATTTAAACATTATAAATACATAGCCCTGTAATATTTGTCTCAGGCTGTTCTGGTTTGCTGCTCTTGTGAGATTATTCAGACATACGAAACAAAAAATTACCAGATAACGAGATGTAGGCTTATTTTTCAGTGTTGCAGATTAGTGTTGATAAAATCCTTTTCTGAAAGCTCAAATATTAAACCTGCATGCATTGGTCTTCTTCCACAAGATAGTTTTAAATTCATTTCTGTCTTAAAGAAAAATAATCTCACTTAAATACTGAAATACAGGTCTCAGTAATATTCTGATCTTTATTGGTACCATGCACCAATTCTGATTAAAACCTGCAGAATTCAGCTCTGAAAACTGTTCCAGCCTTAATCTGCAATGTTCAAAAGTACCCAAGGAACTACATAAATGACTACCCCCTCTCCCTGAAGTGCAGTGGGTTATGTGGGATTCCCAAAGCTCTAAATTCTTGGCATTCAGGGTTGAAAATGCCAGGGCTCAAGTAACAAATATTTCAGTTGCTTGTTGAAGTGACTCTATTAGATTGGGATCATCTAAATAAGTCTAGTATCAAGTAAATATGGTATATATTAAATCTAAAAAGAATTTCAATTTTATGGTTTTCAGTGGTCTAATGATGACTTTTTGAAGAGTTTGTGGTCTGAAAAATACTGTAATTGCACAGCATTCTTAAAAAGACTGCTATGTAGTATCAAACTTCAGTAGTTCCACGGAAGACATTTTGAGAATTTCAGATCCATCTTGTTTAGCTACACCTTCTCCACTATGATTAATGGAGGAAAGTGCAAGTTGGAATTTTTCTAATAGCTTTGAAAAATCTCACATTTATTTGCTTATTTTATAGGATGTGAAGAAAACCAACCTAACCCTGCCACCCCTTAGGGAATTAAAGTACAGTGCTTTAATTACATAATGCCCATTAATGCTAATAAATTTTATGCTAAAGACCTATGTTGTACCAGTGCCAACTAAAACATAAGTCTCCTTCCTTTACAAGCTCTGTGCCATATATTGCCTGGACATGCGGTCATTAAAATGAGCTAGGTTGTAACAACAGAATTTAGACAAAGATGCAGGATTTCATTTTCAATACTTTTTATAGGTTAAAATAATTTTAGGATTTGGTCTTCAAATAGTCTTTAAAACCATTCAAATAGGAAGTGCTAACTGAGGGAACAGGCCACTAGATATGTGAAATCAAGCAATGATATTTTTCAGCTGCTGCAGTATTTCTATAGTCTGGTATGACTTGAGTTTTCTCAGAAGGTTCCTTTGTAATGGCAGTGTGAGGAATGAGTTTACAAACCGTATAAAAGAAAGCATGTTTGTAACTTTATTCATAAATCCTGATTTTTTTTTTTTTTTTTCTGCTCTGTATCTCTCACCTAGTCAGTAACTGCAGCTCATTATTTTTTTTTCCTCCTTTTTTAAAATATAGCTCTGCTATGAGTAATCCTTCTAGAGTTTGACCTTAAAATTAAGTCTCCTTCGCTTACAATATTTCTGGAAATTGGTCAATCAAATCACTTGATCTCTGTGTTACAGTGCAGTGGTTCTGTTTTCAGTGGGAGTACAGGAGGATGTTGGGATCCATTTCGTAAGAATTTGAAGGGAGGAAGAGGGAAAGTATCAGAGGATCAAATTGGTAGATGCAAACTTTATCCACATCTCTGTGAGCCAAAATTTAGGATCCTGTTGTAGTAATGAAATGAAAACCTGATGGTGACATGGTCTGGTTGAGAATGGAGACCAAATGCATATAGCTGTGCATGAAGAGGTGTCATTTTCTCAGAGCAGATGAGAGTATTTTGTGACAGCAAGAACATGAGATGAAGAAGGGGCTCGAGTGGTAGCTGGATGGTAAAATGCGTTTAAAAAGAAAACAAACCAACCAAACAACAAAAAACAAACCCAAAAGCATTTGGATACAGTCTGGCTATGGAGACATGGAAAATATGCATAGTCTTAACAAGTGGGAGGATAGTGGGATCAACCAAAGAACGTGAAGAAATCTAATGGGGAAAAAAAAGTATAAAAAAGATTAACCTCAGATGTCATAAGGAGATTGTATTTCAGCAGTCTTTCTTTTTCATATATTTTTCTTGATTATCTCAATCCCTGTATTATGCCCAGTGCTGATCTCCTGAAATGGTTTTATTAGTTAGTCAAAGGATCCCCAGCACTTTCTTAAGCCTATCACCAGAGCAGTCTTCAGGAGTGTGAGGCAGCATGTGGGGTCAGGGTGATCACCAGCCACATGCTCACAGCCTGCATCTGGCTGGGTAAGAGAAGGTGCCACAGTGTGTGGCTGGCCTGAAGGGAGGGTAATGGGAGGATGAGGAGATGGAGAGCTGGGTTCACTGCCTGCAGTCTTCTCTGCAGGGCAGGGATCCCTTGAAAGTCCTGTTGTAGAGAGCTCTCAGCAGCTGTATTTTATCCTCAGTCTGAACCCTGTCAATCACATTTTTTAGTATTTTCACTATGCAATGGTTTTTTTTATGTTCTAGTTATGCTTCTTTAGTGTTTCTGCTGAAAGATTGGAAAACTTTGGCTGAATTTGGGTGTGGGTCTGCCATCAGATATGTAGAAGCAGCCTCTCATTAAAGAAAAAAGGGTTATTATAAGTGAAGAGCTTGTAATAATGTTACATGTTGATGAGCAGTAACTATTGGAGCTGGGAGTGTTTTGAGACTAAGCCTCCATGTTACAACTCTCCATCCCAAATTCCCAGTCAAGTGGGAGTTCATGTTATTTTTAGCAGTAGGTACTTTTGCCACTGAGCCTTAATGGACTGTAATCACACTTGAAGTTATTGATAGTTTTTAATCTCATATGTTGCTGTTGTCAATATCCTTTTTATTTTTAAATTAGTGAGAAACTTGAATCATCCCAAATCTTCCCACCATCAGTTCCACTTCTTCTAACTTCCTGACTAGTCGCAGAGAAATCATGGTCTTGCTGCTGCTTCTGCTCTGCTTGCCTGTGTTCACCTGGTCGCTGATATCCCTGCTCACAGGCAGTCCTGCTCCAGCTCAGTGATGAATGCCAGTCATGATAGCGTAACAAGCCAAAAGTAGTAAACTTGCTATGAAAAGCTTGCAAACTTGGAAGTGCTTAGGTGCCAGGGTTTTAAACTCATTGAAACTTTATTAATGACACCCTGGGGGGAAGAATCTTTTAATAGTAAACACACTGAAACGGATTTGAGCTGAAAAAGTTGGATTTGCTTTGTTTTGGTTGTGTGCATACTACAGCGTTATCAGGAGATGATTTAGAGCAACAGCCGTGAACTCCTTGCTTGGACGACGTTGAACTGATGGTTCTCCATGACTGAAAACGTTTTTCCAGCTTTATGGGAGCTTTCCGCCTCCCACCCCCTGTGGCACTTAGCAGCTTAAAAAGAGCTGTGTTAAACGGTGTCTGAGCTTACTGAATAATCAAATAGGATTAAATTTTTATTTTTTAATTTTTTTAAATATTCATTCCTGCTCCATTTTTGAAACAACACATGTGCCAGGGTGCTATTCTTTTCCCTGGTAGTTACTACATGGAATGTATTTTCCCTGAGAAAATGGAATCTTTGTGTCTTTGTCTCCTCGCTAGCTTTCAGGCATGTTTTGGCAGGAGCTCTGACTGTCGAGGCACTGGAGAGGAGGGGCCTCGCACTCATTTGTCAGCTTTTCTTGCATCTGTAATTTTCGTCCACTCAGCAGTACTGGAGGGGCTTAAAAAAGGGGGAGAGCTCATAGCTGTTGAAAGTCAAACTCTTGAAATATTTGCTGGACTGTAACAGTCTGGGAAAGGTGTGTTGGGGGGGGGGGGGGCAGAATGGGCTTCCAATGTTTTGGCTAAAACCAGGTTTAGGTTTAAGGTTTTAGCAACTCTGTTTCAAGTAATTGCATGCTTTTTCCCCATATGTCTGTACAGGAGTGGTACTGTGTTTATAGACTGGTTTATTGTGTGTTGATAAACTAGCTTTTTTTTAATGGCAATGAAAATATTTCACTGCTGTTCAAGAGCTTTTTGTTTCCAGCCAACAGCTTAACTTAAAACATTTAAAGTCTCTAACTCATGTCCTAATCCTCGGCTGCAATCTTCCTTTGCAGGCTGTGTGCTTTCATCTCCTTGTGAAATGTAACCAAACAGAAGTTAGTTGTTTTTTTTTTTTTTTATTAGAAGACATATCCCTTCATACTAAAGAAAGCATTTTTCCTCTTCAGCTTTCTACAGAATATTAACATTGATCTCCTCCTCATTTTAGTAGGCTATTTAAGCTCAGGGCTCATACTGTGAACTGTTAATTAATCAATGTGACAGATGAAGAAAGTATCCAACTATGAAAGAAAACCTTACTTTAGTGGCTAACAAGATGTGAGCCCAAGTGATTTAAAGGATTTTTTTTTTTTTTTGGGCATGTATGATAAGGAGTCTTAAGCTGTTTGAGGTAATGTGGGGTTTTTGCTCAGTTTGTGTCTCTGCACAAACATTAAAGGGCTCATCAATATTTTGTCTTGAGAAGTCTAGACAGGAGTTAAAAGAGCCTCTCCTACAGTATGAAGAGATCCTGTTTTCCATTATTAATAACAGGAAGCAAGTAAATAAGGCTTTACTGACAAATGAATCTGCAACAGTAACATGTGCAGAGAAACATTAGCTCCTAGCTGAGAAATGTAGCTGAGGTCTGTTGGTTTTAGTGTACAGGAAAAGATTGCTGT